GTATACACACCTGGTAAATCCATGTGTACAGGCATTGTTTTAATTGTTTGAAGACAGTTAGTTATGATGAAATCATTGGAGTGACAGAAATTGATAAGTTGTTCTCCAAATTCATTTTGGTTTCCTAAGCCATATAATGCAACTACATGTTTCTATTTAATGTTTCCAACTTCAGCATTCCAGGCTCCAATCATAAGTAGCACAATTTGCTTGAGTGTTCTGTTGATTTCAAATTGAACTTGATCTAAAATTAGGAGTCATTTTTTCTTCTGCATCAGTGGTTGAAGCATAAACCTGAATAGTCATCAAATTAAAGGGTTGACCCCCAGTGTAATTACTGGATCACTGATAGCTTTGTAGCCAAGTATAGTTATTTCTATACACTTTCAAGCTATAAAAGCGATGCCATTGCAACTTTTTTTAATGTCCTGAGTAATAAAAGGTCTGATCTTTTGACTGAACGTGTCCAATACCCGTACATTTCAATTTGCTGATGCCTAAAATATCAATTTATAGTTGTCTCATTTCATCTTCCACTGTTTTGAACTTTCCTGAAACCATGTTTCTTACATTCCACATGCCTCCTGTAATTCTGTCTTTGCAGCTTCAGATTTTGTTTTCCTTTGCAAAAGCAGTCCTCGACTTATGACCGCACTTGAGCCCAAAATTTATGTTGCTAAGTGAGAAATTTCTTAAGTGATTAACATTTTATGACTTTTCTTACCCCATTTGTTAAGTGAATGACTGCAGTTGTTAAATTAGTAGCACAGTTGTTAAGTGGATCTGACTTCCCTATTGACTTTGATTGTCAGAAGGTCACAAAAGATAATCACATGACCCTGGGACATTGCAGCCATCATAAATATGAACCAATTCTAAATATCTGAATGTACAGTAAACCACATGACCATGGGGATGCTGCAACAATCATAAGTGTGAAAAATGGTCATAAGTTACTTTTTTCAGTGCCGTTGTAACTTTGAACGGTCACTAAATGAACTATGGTAAGTGAAGGACTACCTGTATCTTGAAGGTTTTAATCTAGTTACATTATAAATACCATTAGAACTCAGCTTACAAAAATCCTGAACTCTTTCCCAAGAACCATGTTGAGTGCCATATGGTCTGAGAGACCTATTATCCAACACGCTATCATTTTTGGTCCATATGGTTTTCTTAGTAAAAATAAGAGAATGGTTTACAATTTCCTTCTTCTCTGTAGTATTAATAGATGCCTTTGACTTATCATTAAAGTAATTATCTGCCTCCATCTTCTTATATCACTGTTGCCTCATAATATTGTAGATCCCTGCTTGTTTTAGCTGGGTAAATGGGATGACCTTCACACCTTGTGTGACCTTTCTGGAAATATAGTATATATTTTTGGCCAATACTCCCGACATTCTTTGGTCCTTTCTCCCAGGAACATGCACACAAACACCTTGATGTAATGAGGCAGCACAGAAGGACAAGGAGCTGTTTATAATGAACTACTGACTATTCTAATTCACCCTTCATGTTTCAATATTTTAGCAAAAGAAATGCCTCATTATACATCAATGCATTGCCAGAGTGTTTTGTGGGACATACTGAAAGGAGAGAAATTAAGAATTTAAATAGGCCTTTAAGTGAGCTTCAATTGGTGCTTAGCATATTTGCACTCCATCGCTCTCCATTCTATATTAAACCAAGGAGCTGATTAAAATCTGCCATGTCCAGAACAGGAAAACAGGCATTGTGGAGCAATAACATTATTTGCCTGCACTGTATCCATATTCCACAGAGCGTTTAGAACTTTGATATTTTCACTGAAATGAGAAACTTCACAAGAAAGTAAATAGCTGCATCCATTAAGAATTTGGCCAAACCATTTTTATTAGTTTTCATAACTGAAGAATGGATCCGTTATATTTGTATGGACTGCCATTTTAAGACTAGACCATGTCCTGCCATAAACTACAGATTGAAGGTTTTTTAAAAAGCCAAGTGCATAGCTTATAGCTATATAAAGCTAGCTAAGTCATGCCCAACTCTTCGTGTTCCCTCAGACCATAGCCCGCCAGACACCCACCCCACGTCCTCTACTGCCTCCAAGAGTTTGCCCAAATTCATGTTCATTGTATTGATGACACTATCATCCTCTGCTGTCCCATTCTCCTTTTGTATTCAATCTTTCACAACATCAGGATCTTTTCCAATGACCTTTCTGTATATAAATCTTTAAAAACAAAATAGAATTATATATTCTGGGAGCATGAGTATAGAGTCTCCTTGGGAACATAATAGTAGAGGCTCTCATGATTGCCATCTGATGTTCAACATTTGCTAGCTACATGGAATAGGAAAATGAGAAAACAGATTAGTTTTATATTTTATAAATGACAAAGCAACTGGAAAGAAAGAATTTTGGAAAGAATTTTAAAAGAACATGACTACCCAATTTGAACGTAGCATAATCTGCCTTTTAACAATGCTAATAAGGGATTTCCCATAATACTTTCTGTGCTTTTGGTCTGTCCTCTTCCTGTCTCATAAAATCATAAGACAATAGATTCAACCCAAAATGCAGGAATCCAAATTAAAGTATCCCCATTCAGATGGCTAACTAGCCTATATTTCAATATATCCAATGACAGGCAACCCATTGCCTCCCTGCAAAATTTGTTCCATTGTCAAGCTGCTCTTAGTTTTTCTACTACTTTTGCTACTCTTAACATTCAATCAGAATCAGTCTTCTGTAACAAAAATCCATTTTTCCAAGTCCTACATTCTGGAACAATAGAGTGCTATTATATTCCCTTTTGGTGTTCTTTTCAAGGTTAAAGATACCCTGCTTCTTCATTTTTTCTTCATAGTTTCAATCAATTTTCATTGCTTTTCTGAACATTCTCAAAGTGGGGTGCTTTGAGTTGGACACAATGTCCAAGACAGAGCTTGATCAACAGAGAATAAAATGGAACGATTATTCTGGGTAATTTGTACTGTGTACTGTATTTCACTTTTTTCTATCCACAGCTGATTGCTGATTGAAACACATTTTGTAATCAACTATTATTCTAAGATCTTTTCAGAATACATTATTATCAAGATGAAACATGCATTCTTCATCCTGTATATATTTGATTTCTGATTAGCTTTTCTTTTTCTCTGTTAGAT